AAGATAACTTTCCTATAGAAGTACAGTATCTGGACTTATTTTAAATACCCTAAGGAGGCAATAATAGCCCTATTTTGGGGGGAAAAATATTTTCCCCTTTTAGGCAACTATGTTTAAAAAGGTCAATTTCCGCCCTGACCGGTTTGGCTCAGCGGATAGAGCATCAGCCTGCATGCGGACTCAAGGGTCCCAGGTTCCATTCCGGTCAAGGGCATGTACCTGGGTTGTGGGCACATCCCCAGTAGGGGGTGTGCAAGAGGCCGCTGAATCGATGTTTCTCTCTCATCGATGTTTCTAGCTCTGTATCCCTCTCCCTTCCTCTCTGAACAAAATCAATAAAATATATTTATTTTAAAAAAAAGGTTAATTTCCTGAAAATGCTGGAAGGATAAAAATATTTGACTGTTCATCTTTTATAGGGTGTCAGTAGCTGCTACAGTATCTAAGTCTAGAGATAGATAGAAGTAGTTTCCCTGTAAAAGTAGGGGTATAAAGATTTGATTCTCATCCCTTTATATGGCCTTTTTAAAAAATTTGTATATTTTTATTGATTTCAGAGAGGAAGGAGAGAAAGAGAGATAGAAACATCAATGATGAGAGAGAATCATTGCTTGGCTGCTTCCTGCATGCCCCCTGCTGGGGATCGAGCCCACAACCCGGCATGCGCCCTGACTGGGAATTGAACCCAGGACCCTTCAGTTCACAAACCAACGCTCTATCCAGTGAGCCAAACCGGCTAGGGCGGTACTTTCTTTTTATAATGTAGATGTGAGTGAGCTAAAAGGCATCGCAAAGCCATAATGTAAGAGGGACTTGGGATGCCCCTTTGCTCTCATTAATCCAAGGAGCGGGATTTTGGAATGACCTTCAGGGAGATGGGTGAACCTGGTCAGAGTCGTCCTGTCCCATCGGACACATGCGTGTGGGGAGCATGGCTCTGGGTCCCTTTTAATCTTTACTGTCCACCAGGCGACAACAACAGCAAGTGGGTGAAGCACTGGGTGAAAGGCGGATATTACTATTACCACAACCTGGACACGCAGGAAGGCGGATGGGATGAACCCCCGGGCTTTGTGCAGAACTCCACGCAGCTCTCGCGGGAGGAGATCCAGGTAGGTCGCCTTTCTTCGGGGAAGGAGCTGAACGTGTGTTTGGAGGAACAGGCCTGTGGTCAGAAGCCTTAGCCTAAAATCGAGGCCACGTAATGACCTGGCTTAGAGTCATTATTTGTCCTGTGGTTGGAGGAGTGACTTAAGGCCTAAATTAGGAAAACATCAGTATTATAGAGTTTAAGTCAGGCAAATTGTGTGCTTATTAAAGAAAACGTGGATGCCCAGAAGAGAAAAGCAAAAAGTTGCTCTAACTCCTCATTAAACGCACCTACTGTTCATCTCCCCCGGTTTACATTTCCACCCTTTTTTCGGACTGTCCCACCCACTCCGGACTGTGCTGTGTTAGACCTTAACCTGTCCGTCACAGGCAGGCTGGCCATTTCCCTGCGTGTCCTCCACCGCGGCGGTCCAGGGGGCTCTGGGACTGGGCACTCGGCCCCCTGTCGGCCCCTGTTCCTCTGTCTTCCTGTCAATAATGACCCACGCACGGTGCCTGGCACAGTCAGTGTTGGGCAGATGAGTGGGTACATGGGAGAGGAAAGAAGATCAAGTTGCTTTTGTCCGTGGCTTGTTGGGGTGTGAGAACCACCTGCCCTGAAAAATAGACCTGAAGCCATTCTCGTTGCTCAAAGATCTAGAACAGTCCGAGAAAGCGGGAAGGGTTGGTTTGTGCGCTGCGGACGATGCCGTTAAAATTCGTGTCCCTTCTCACCTGCGTCCGTCTCCCTGTGACCACGCGCCTTTCAGAGCTCCATCTCCGGGGTGACGACTGCGTATAACCGAGAGCAGCTCTGGCTGGCCAACGAGGGCTTGATCACCAAGCTGCAGGCTTGCTGCCGCGGGTACCTCGTCCGACAGGAGTTCCGCTCCAGGATGAATTTCCTGAAGAAACAGATTCCCGCCATCACCTGCATCCAGGTATTTCAGAGCCCGGCCGCCGGCCGCGGGTGGGCGCCGAGAGCAGGGCTCAGCAACTGCCATTCTTAGGGGCGAGTGTGGGTGTGCTTTCCTCCCGGCCTCTCGGCCTCATCCTTCTTCGGATAAGCGTTTCCTCTCTGCTGCCACTGTCATTAGTGTGCTCGGCTGGATCTGGGCCTCAGGGCTCCCCACTGCCTGGTGGTGTGAGCCTCTCTAAGTTTGCTTCATCCTCTGTGAGTGGGGATGCTAATGTTTACCTTCCCTTCCTCACTGATTTATTGTAAGGATCCAATAAAAG